CGTGTGTGACTAAATGGTGAGTTGGGGGAAAATTTAATTGTCATGGAATTTTTATCTAAGAAATTGGGTCAGAGCATGCATGTAAAAGAAGTGTCACTTTGAATACAGCCCACTTTTCCAAAGACAAGAGATGCCTGAGCTATAGTAGTTATATGTTATGTTATCTGAAAACCGCTCACTGAAAAGGTGAATTATTTCTTTTCCATTACAGGTATATAAAGATTGAATTGAATATTGCTTTATTATCCTCTGTATTTTCTGGTTTCTCAGAAGTTCAAATTATGCTTGTGTTGACTTCATGGAAGCAACTGAGCAGCTTTAACCATATGTCAGCAAAGTTTTCAAGCAAAGTAATATTTTTAATAAGGACTAGGTTTTTTAGATCTTGGAAGTTCTTTAGGTGCTTGTAATTTATATTGCAGCAACAGCACTAATGCAATTAAATAAATATGTGACTCTGAAGCCCTGTTCTCTCTATCGTTACATGAAATGATGTTGTCATCCCTCACTGAAATTTTTGGCATGTGAAGTTATCAATACCATAATGAGAGAATCCTCAAAAATTATGGTTCCTCTTTTATTCCAATACATACCTAAGAAGAAAATTATGGGTCTCTTCTCCCTCCCCCTCCATTTCCCATCAGGATACTTAAAACTCTGCCTGAGAAAATTTCCAGCATGTTCTTTTCTTCCAGCCCTATTAAATCATTAGCTTTCTATTAACACCTAAGGTGTTTCTAATGCTTCAGAGTGAGCTGCTTACAGCCCATGCTCCCCTGCATATGCTAGATTCCCCAAGCCTGGATTTCTGTTCTCAGGTCTGTTTTTAATGCCCTCCAGCTTTCTCCACATGCCAGATTACATGACAAGTTGTTGAAGAGGACAGCCAAAGTAGGACCTATCTTTTCCCTGCACCCAGTGCAAGGTTATATTTGGGTTCTAAAGCAGGACTAGGGGTACTGTGGGGCTGCCTGCCTTTCCACTTGCTTCTCTTGTTCTCCACCCCCATTTCCCAGTATCCCATCTACTACTATACCAAAGATGTTTATACCACCATTTGGCTTTACAATTGAATCTTACTGGTGTACAGAAGATTAACTCATTTAGGGACTTACTTCTATCTGTCAAGCAGATCTAGAATCAAATTCAGAGAACCTGAATTCCAAAGAATTCCAGACTTCGTGAAAATTCAAACTTGAATCCAGATTTCATCAATGGTTAGGGAAAATCCACATGTCAGTTTTAGGGTCAGATTAATTTATAACAAGTGGAATTTAAAAGGTTTTTCTTTTTCATGTATATATGTCTAGAGCTGGAAGATTTGTTGGTTGGTTAGTAGTTTTTTGCACAAAGGGGAATATTACCAGATTTACCAGAATTAATAAATAATAATAACTGGTAAGAATCAAGGGAAATAATTTGCTTTGGATAAGTGCAGCTCAATAAAAATGAAATTTGGAACACATAGGCCTTGCAGTGCCTTGCAATTATGACATTTAGCCTAGTAAATTAAACAAAGTCAGAGTATATTATCAAATGCTAAGACTCAGTTGTCAGCACTGTGACATCCCTAGAACATTCTTTGGGGTAGTTTTGAATGGAGAAAGCCCATGATTGTCCCAGGGAACTCACCAATCCCATGTAGGAATCAATTTTAGCTTTCCAGAACCAGATATGTTGGGGATTAGTTTTGTTTCAAAATACAGGAAGGAGTAGTATTCCTTTCTCATCCCATTCATGTAACAATCATCCCATTCATGTAACAATACCTCTTCTGGTCTCTGGCACTGAATCAAGGTTTAAGAATTTGTTTCATTCTCCTTTTGGTACACCATGGTACATAACAGCCATGCCAGACTATACAGTCTTGAGTGCTGGGATGAGTCAGGGATGAATCAGAGGTGGGTATTTAGTAGCACCCATGAAAGGGATGCTCTGATGCTGTGGGGATGTATGGAGCCATAGAGGTGGCATCAGCTGAGGAGGTTAAGTGCTTAGTCATCCTTTCCATGCCCAGGAATGGTGGTGACTTGAGCTGTACAAAAAGCCCCATCATGATGCAGATTTTATTTCCAACAAAATGTCTGGTGAACTGCAAGGCATTGTTATCAGGTTGGCCTGAGGAAAAGAATTGCTGCTTCTTGACACTTAGCCCAGTGCTAAGTAGCTGAGTAGAAATTTAATTCTGCTCAGGTTCCTTCCCTGAATATGAAATAGCACCAAGAGAGCTCTGGCATAATATATTTTTTATTTTAATATTCTATCTTGAAATTATAGATTTGTCAAGAAACCTGTGGGAGGCAGGTGCCCTAATCTCACCAAATTTCCAACAGATATATTTTCTCTGGTGCTTTAAATTCTTGTGTAGAAAACTGAATTTTATGTCAGCCTGAATAAAACACAAGATTAACTTTAGGCATGGGCTTGGATCTGTGGACTTCTCATATTTGAAATTTAGTACCCTCTCAGAAGTCATCTGAGCCAGAAACTTTTGTTTCTTTTTTTGGTTGCTGTTTATTTTTTCTTTTTCATAATATCTCTTTTAGCCCTGCCAGGAGTATGACAAGGACATAAGCTGTTCAGAGGATAAAAGTTCACTTTTATGAATATTTTTGAGATTTGTCTTTGCTCTAATTAGCAATGCAATCTGAAAAATTTGCAGTCCTTAAAAAAGACCCCAAAACTTCTGCAAGCAAAATGAAGCTGGTTGGAAATGCTTAATGATGGCACCTTTTCATTTATGTTACACCATATGCTAACACTATGCTAACTTAAATTGAAACCATAGTAATTTAGGAATTAAAATATTTTACTCTGCAAAAATAAAAATTGAATGCTTTGAAGCTGTCAGAACATTTGTATGGCTTTCTTAAAACATTTTCATGGAATTGACATGATTTCAAAAGGTATTCTTCTCAAAGGATCTGATTTTTCAGAGAAAATATTTCTGCTGATGTATTTTCTTTGACCACTTTTAAAGCTCCTGTACTAGAATTATTAAGGAAAAGCACAGAGTAGTGATTGTGACACTTTGCAGTGGGTAGTGCAAATTTATTTTTGAAACCTTGTATCTCATTCTCAGCAATGCATTCTAGTTTTTATCCTGGTGCTACTATTTCACACTTGCAATTTTGCTACTATGTTGCTTTTGTGAGAACTCCCATCTCAGTTACATCCAGGCAAAAAAGAAAGGAAATATTAATGAAGAATCACAAGCTGCAACAGCATAACAGAACGAGATCAGACCCGTGGAGGAGCTTTCCAGGTAGGGCAGCACACTAGGCTGCTCCCTGAAGAAAACCAACCAGTGATGCTTCCTTCCCTGTTTGCAAAATTCATCCCCATTCGGAGATGCAGGCCACTACAGGTACAGTACAGAGCCAGTGTGCTTTAGCAGATGACCACTGCAGATGACCTAAAATGTGTCATCCTGTCATTCTGATTTCATATAGTGCTTGCCCTTGCTTGGAGATATCTCCATGTTCTTGAAAAACATGGGGAAGGCAAATTCGCAGCTGTGACCCTTTAGAATTGAGAGAAAATTAGAGTGGAAACTGACATTCAGAAAGAATTGGATTGGCAGATATCAAATTGCCTATCCTTTTTTGGCACATTAGAAATATGTGATTTCTTTCCTCTGTTTAAGCTGAAATATAGTCCCATTCTCAGCTTTACCTAATATCGGGCAGAAAAACAAAGTGTAATGATTCATAAACTGTAAAAGTTGTGTTCTCACCACTTATGGAAACAGTAAATTATTCAGACTGAAAACTGGGATTGTGTTATGTTCACTCAGGTGTTACCTTCTGCTTAGGGACATCTGTACTTGAGGATGAGAGATTGATTGGTCTGAAAGACAATATGGTGCAAACAGGGAGTTAGATGGCATTGCCCTTTTCACTGACTTTCCTAAAGACTTAACGTTCCTTGTAAGTCTAGAAGGTTTTTCAGAGAACTAGAGGACCATGGCTCCAATTTTCCACAGGCAGGGATGCCTAAAAAGAAATTAATCCTCTGATGGACTTCGTGGGAATAATTCAGGGGTTTTTTTTCAAACATTGCTTTGAGCTTCAATTGAGACTTGGCATTTTTAGGCGTGTTTCCTCAAATATTGGCTATTTCCATAAAGTCATTTCACCCAGCATGAAAGATGTCCACCTCTGTGGTGAGATGCATGGCCACATGCTAGTGATGCACAACACCCCAGTGACAAAGCGAGGCACTGCAGTTGATCTGGCAGCTGAACAGGAGAACTGGGACAGAGACTTGCCGGAGTGTACTCACAACACAGAGCGGCACCACAGTTGAAGAAAGTAACAAATTTGTGTAAATTTCTAGGTTAAATTCATAGACATGTTAATAATGGACATGGACAGATCTGTAATTTCAAAATGTGTTGATTACATTATTAATACCACTTATTTCCTGGTTCCATAGACCAAACAGGTCTATTGTTCCTTTCTCTTCTAGTTTCTGCTGGTAACGCAGGTGAAGGTTTTTTGATCCTACTTCATGTCCTGTGCCATGTTCCCAGTTGAAAAGTCTGGATAACCCTGAAATTTCTTCCAAGATATGTTCAGCTGCACAACCATTATGGAGTTTCACTAGACTTGTGTCCTCATAAGCTTCCCATCATTTATTAGACCTTCTCCTCTACACATTTTCCTCCATTACTGACCTGAATTATTTGGAACAGGACTTCTTTCTAAGGGTAATCTAGTTACATTTCTTCCTCCCAATGAGTGTTCCACCTCATATGCATATAGAAATCTTACAAAAATCCTAGAAAGCAAAATTTTAATTCCTTAAATGAAAAAATGGACTGTTTGGTACGCATATATGATACCAAAGTAACCATTCAGCACATAGCCTAGAACTAGTCAGAAAGTGTCCCTTTTGTGAAAAATTAGAAGGAACTGTTTTCTCATTTCCTATAACTTTATAGCAAACAATGAGGAATAAAAATACATTTTAAATACCACTAAGATGGTAAGCGTTTCTTTTGAACATTTTATAATGGTTTATTTTACAACCTTATGAAAGAAGTTAGGGGAAATGGCTAGATTGAGTGTCTTTAATAAAGATATTGAAAATAATATTTGTTATAGGCAATTATTTTAACACTATATTTGTACTGCTGAAAAATGGAAGTATATTACACAGGACAGATTGTTAATCTATGTGAAAGAAGGATGTGAGAAGTAATCCATTGTGCTGATACAGCTAAATTGAAAACCTTCACTGAGCAGATTATAATACATTCTTGAGGAGCTGTTGAAAGCTAGAGAAGTTGAAGACAATAAACAAATACCCAGGAACTTTCAAAATGTGTATTTTCCTTAGAGCTGCACCATCCTTATCCCACTCCTGTGGCTGCTGGCTGGAAAATGACACCTGCAAAGGGTGAAAAACAAACCAAGTAATTATGCTGTGGATGAAACCAACAGTCCTACATGGATCACCTATCATCCTATAGGTGATTCCACAGAGCCATATCACTCTTTTTAGGACACTTGTTAGGTTTTACGAGGTCCCAGTCCTTCAGCTATGTGATTCCCTGGCTGTACAACCAGCCAAACTAGTGAGGAGAGAGCCAAGGTGAGAGTTTCAGTTTGCCAGTTCTGTATCTTCATTTTCTCTAAATATTTAGCACAGACTAATTGGTTATACATTGTCTGAGCAAGATGGAGGATTGGATGAGAATCATTTGGCTGAGATTGTGCAAGTTCAAAATGATGATTACAGGATTTGGGAAGCAACACTAGCAATTAAGCAAGCAGCAGAGTGGAGGAAGTGTACTTCCCATCAGTTGTGCAGATGGCAGCCTGGGCTGCTCATGCTCAAAGACGTGTTGGGTACCCCTAAATATATACATTGACAAGCAAAAGGGAAGTGGATGTCACCTGGGCCACTGAGTATCTCCATGATTTCAAGTCCCTCACGGATACCTGGAAACCTCTAAAGCAGTTTTCCTGGATGTGGTGCCATAACCCATCCTGAAACAGATGTTCCTGCAGGATGTATCTGCTCACTAGGAAAAGTTGTCTGGGAGACCTGTGTACTGAGTCCTGTGCTGGCTGCCACTTTACCTACTTCTTGGTAAATCCAGCTTTCCTTTATAGTTGGCATTTTCCAAGGGCTGAGGAAATACCTCCTGGGGCAGCTTCTGTCTCTTCATGGCTTTGATGCTCTCTGGATGAATTGTGACAAGATTGCACCGGAGCAAGCAGTCTTGGATGTCCTGCTCACACCCTGTGTGGTCTGAAGGCATGAAAGCTTGATTGACTAAGCTGAAAAACTTGCAAAGTAATAACTTTTGTATTTTGTCCTGGTTTGGGAATGTGTTTCATTGAATATTCAGATAAGCCTTGTGCAATGTGGGATTTGCATTTATTTTCTCCCTAAAGCATGTCAGATCAAATAGCAATACAAACTACACAACACAGAGGTCTCCTTGTGGCTTGCACTGCTGTGTGCTGGTTTTGTTGTAATTGGATAGGGTTTATAGCTTAAATCTGAAAAAATTGTAAACTCAAAAAGGCAATTGTTTCTGTCTGACTGTAGACATATTTCACACCATTTGAAAAGGTGAAGTTGGAAACAGCCTGCTAAGGTGACAGCCTGGTGCCACTGAACAGTGGGACTTTTGCTAGTGACACTAGTGGGAGCATGATTTCTCTCATTTTTCACGCAGCATCTCTTTCTAGGTCTTGTCGTCTGATCCTTGTGAAAGGGTACTCAAGCCTGTTCAAATGACACACGTTGGCATTCTTAGATCTGTTCCTACCACTAAATTTAGACCCAGAGACAACAAACTCAGTGCAGAACAAAATCCTTTTGCATCCCGTTGATTATTTTCAAGCTTACCGGCACAGTTAGGGGCTAATACCAGAGGATGCTACCGCAGGGCGATGCTGGGGGATCACCACAGAACCAACGCGGCCCCGCGGCTTGCGCGGGGCAGGGGGTGTCCGCAGCGCCCAAGTAACTTGCGGGGCGGGGAGGCGCCGGGCGCTGCCGTGCATGCGTGCGCGGGCAGCGGGGCCGGGGCGGGGGCCGCTCTCGCACAGCGGCCCCGGCCCTGCAGCCCCGCCGCCCGCCCGCCCCTCCCGCTGCCGGCCCCGCGCCCGCCGGGCGCTCCGTGCGCGGCGCGGCACGGCACGGCACGGCGCGGCACGGCCGGGGAAGGCGGCTCCCGCCGGGCCCAGCGCGGCGGCGGATGGCGGGGGGGCCGCGCCCGGCGGGGGCCGGCGGGGGCGCCCGCTGAGCGGCGGCGGCGGCGGCGATGCCGAGGGGCCCGGCTCGGCGGGGCGCGCCCGCGGGGCCATGAGGGCGGGCTCCGGCCATGGCCCATGGCAGCGCGGCGGTCATGCTGAAGTGCGTGGTGGTGGGGGACGGCGCCGTGGGCAAGACGTGCCTGCTGATGAGCTACGCCAACGACGCCTTCCCCGAGGAGTACGTGCCCACCGTCTTCGACCACTACGCAGGTGAGCGGGCGGGGGGGTCCCGCGACCGCTGGGGGCGGCAGCCGCTTTCTCCCCTCCCTCCTCCCTCCATCCCCTGGCCTTGCCCTGCCGGGGGGGGCGGGCAGCGGGGTCGGCCGGGCTTGCCCCCCTTCATCCGCTGCGTTTCTCTCCCCTCGCAGTCAGCGTCACCGTCGGGGGCAAGCAGTACCTGCTGGGGCTGTACGACACCGCCGGCCAGGTGAGTGCCGAGCGCTGCCCGCGGGTCCTCGGCCCCGTCCCCCCGCCCGCCGGCGATCCCGGCGCTGAAGTTATTCGCGGGGCTGTGGTCCGGGCCGGGCGGTTCAGAGGCGGGTTGGCGGGGGTGGGGGGCGATTGATAAAATCCGGCTTTAAAAGAAAACCATCGATCCAGCCTCGATTCCCGAGGGCGGGCAGGCGGAGACGGGCTTTATTTTTAGCGGCGCTGGGGCCGAGGCGCCACGGCATCGGCCGGCGCTGGGGTGGGGGATGCCTGGCGCCTGCGGGGCAGTGCTCCGGGCCAGGCATGGCCACTGGCCAGATCCCCCTTCTCCGGGGTTCCGGCCCTCTCGCCGGCCTTCAGGTGAGGAAATGTGCCCCGTTCAGCACAGAGGGCACACGCTGCCTCGGCCGCCTCGGGTCGGATGGAGAGCAGGCTGCCGCAGTTTGCCTTGTTTGTGGTTTACAGAACTCTAATAGCTACAAAGAGTTGTTCGAACTAAAGGTGGAAAGTAATAACATGCAATTCTTGGCCACTGCCTATGAGATAACCTGGATTTCTTTTGCTGTCCCGGACAACTCAAGTGATTCATTTGGTTAAGATCATTACAATAGTTGTGAAAGATACTGTGATGTCAGCATGGTTCTTAAGTAACTTTAATGATGGATAAAATACTGGATGTTTGGAGGGGTCACTGGTCTAGTGGTTTCTAAAGAGCTCCATGATTCAAATAATCTCTTCCTTAGCTTAACTTGCATGCCACAAGCCAATTATGGTCTCCAGGGTGAGAGTACTTTCTGGGGATCACTTACTTGAAAGAGTTTGTGAAGAGCCTGACCCCAGGAGGTGCAGGCATCTCCCAAGGAGGTGCAGAGCATATACGGAAATGCAGCAGGGGTTTCTGTAAAGTTGTGTATTCCCTATATTAAACTTCTTCTTGCAGCGTGAGCATGTGCTTTAGTCTCACATGACCTCAGACATGCTTCCTTGTTGTAAAGAGCAACTCGTTAGACAATCTCACTGAAGTCGCATAGATTGAAGCTGTAATTTTTAACCATGTTGTTCCTATACTTAATTGAACAACTGCTGCCTGAATTAGTGTGCCTTTTTAGATCTGTATATAGCCTTGAGTTAGGGAATCAGCATTTTACCAGCCTTGTATCTTTGTTAGGCCTGAAATCACTAAAAAAATTAATTCCATGAGAATGTAGGAAACAGCACCATTTCCAGAAAGCTGATACCCTGAAGATGAGACTCTTCCCACAAAGACTGACTTCATGCTTGTCATCTCCCTGATATAAACACAAGCTAGTCAAATTTATGCCAGCTAAGTGCATTTCTTATTGTTATCATAGTTCTATTTTTGAACAGTAATTAGTTCAGAACACAGCTTTAAAATGTTGCTTAAGTAGGTTGCTAAGTGAGGATTTAGTGCTCAGACAAAGTATTTGGTTAGTGTGCAACTAATATTTTCTTTTTATAATGAGCATTGGAAAGTGTGAAAGTGAGCCTAGCACTTCTGTACATATGCATGGTTTATTTGGGGATGCTGTCTCAAGCTGCTTGTTCTGGGCTTGTTACTATCAATGTATGTGTTGTTAGCTCTGTGTAACCTTAACTAAGGTGGCTTCGTGGTACCCCACTCTGCCTGAATGTGCTGTCTGCAAACACAGGTGACCTTTGGCCTCCTCAAAAGTCAGTAGGGTAAACTGGCCAGTTTACAACAAACAGCAAATGAAGGTGTTCCTGTTACACTAAGAAAAACTTCCCTGTGAAGCTGTATATAGAGATTTTTCTTCCAGTTTCTGAAAACCTGAAATCCTCATTTTGAATTCCAGGGCAGTTTTTGAGGCACCTAGAAATAGATCTTGTTGGCCTGATTCAAAGGACCCTCAGTTCACATAGGGTGTTTTAATGAGGCTGCCTTTGCAGATGTATCTGGTCTTGGCGAAACTCCCCTTTTAGTCAGATCTGTGGTACTAATAAAATCTTTACCTCTACCCCCATCCCACTTCAGCATGTTTGGGGAACTGGTGGATGTCAGACACTGCCCATGGGAGCCCCATCCCAACATCCAGTACAACTAAAGAAGGGAGTCTGTATCAAGATGCCAGTCCAGCAACTTCATTCACTTAAAAGCTGCTTTGTCAGAGCAGCTGACAAGCCTGCCTTCCCCAAGCTACACAATAATAGAAAACTTACATTAAAGCTTAAATATATACAGTAAAGAGCAGAAAAGACATGAGTTGATGATGTCTTCTCTGTGTTGGGGAAACAGCATGCTGTACCTGGTGCATGCCTGCTGCTTGCACAGACTTATATATGGATCAGATACATTGCTGAACAAAGCTGGGATTTCTATGCCAGCATACATCAGTGCTTTTGTCTCTAATTCTGTCACCCCCAAATAATTTTACTGTAAAATATTGGCCTGATAGTATAGTTTTGTAAAACTTGGCTGTGTGTGATCTATGTGGTATCTAAGCAGTTCACAATCATCAGCATGTTTATACTTCCAGCCCTGGACAATGTAAATAGGTACAGATTTCTACAGATCTCCGTTCAGGGGGAAGAGGAGTGAAGAGGGTTAATGAAAGTTCAGATAGAGACTTACGATCCATGCAGAAAGCTCATAGCAGAAGAAAGATTAAAGATAAGATTTTGATTAATAGCTGGTGCACAGTAGGCTCATCACCCTGAAATTCTGGCTTATCATGTGTGGGTCTCTTTAACTTGCGTGGTTATGTATCTAGCAACTTGTGACAGACTTTGCTTTGGCAGAGGAGTTGCAAGCTTTTAAGTTCATCCAGTACTCATTTCTATCTTGCTTCCTCCCAACACACGCAGGATCACATGTAGTAACTATAACGATGACATAAGGCCTCATATCTTCATGAGTTTAAAGTAGGTTGAAAATATATCTATTAAAAGTCCCATTTTTTCCCTGGTAATATATATAGCAAGGAAGAATACCACTAGTGGTTCACAAAGTTCAGTTTGTACACAGGTCTTTGAGTGCGTGTGAGTTCAAGAAGGCTTTTCTCCAGCTGAAAATGCTGAGGCCCTGGTTCAGCAGAAAATAGCCACTACAGCTGCTGGGCTGTGGAGGCTCTGAGAGCCCATTTGGGTTTGCAGCTGTGGAGGCAGCCTCCCATATCAGGGAGGCGGGTGGGAATTTGGTGCCATTCCTTCAGCAATTCCTCCCAGAGGTGGAGCTAGCAGCTCCTTTTAGCCTTGCTGTGTGTACTGGGCGGGTTTAGAGCAGGTCTTGGTTTCCCCAGAAGATGAGAACTGTGGAACCTACCTACACGGAAGACACATCAATGCACTGAAGTTTGAACATGAGGTGCTGGTGATACTGATGTTTGGAGGCCTGACTTTGCAGCAGCCTCTTCTGGGAGACTGTGTGTCAATTCTGCACTTCATTGAACAGGGTACATGGCAAAATCAGCTTGGGAAGAGAGCCATGACTTTCATCCGGGTCTGTTAAGATCACCATGTCACAGTGGTTTTGAACTGCTGGCATGTGATTATAATTTCGCTTTTCAAAGATATCAGAAGTAATACTGCCAGCTCTCAAGATGTTAACATTTTTGGAGGAATGTCTACAAGCACTAACAAAGGGGTGGCACATGTCCCTTTGCCATGTCCCAAGTAGTTGGAATAAGTGGTAGGACATACAGGAGTTGCCTTTTGGGGATTTCATTCTATATTCAATGTTGTTGTTTAAAATGACAGTTGGAGTCTATCCTTCTGCCAGTTTCTTTTGGTGTAGGATTTTATTTCATGGTGTCCCTTTCTTCCAGGGTGTGTTGACCACATACAGGGGGAAATCTTGCTCTGTTTCTGTATCTTTGCTGTATAGGATGGCTGGTATCTAGAGGAAGAATGGGGAATTTGCAGTAGCAGAGCCTGCACTGCTTGTCTTACTCTGGGAAGACAGATGCTGAGGCATGGCATGGCTGTTTGGTGCAGATGTGGCAGCAAGCCACAGCAGGGTATGGTGAATCTTACTACGGTGCAGTGCCTCATAATAACATTTATATCCCTCAGCATCACTTACTGTTGATACTAGCGGGGCCTGGTTGGACAAAGCTGAGGTGAACTGTGTTCCTTGGCTCTCTGCTTTTATATCTCTGCCTTAAACACCCTAATACAGGGTCTGGTACAATGAAGCTCTTGATGCCTTCTCACCTGTCCCTAGAACAATACCACAACACATGGTATTCACAAGCACAGAACAATCCACTTCTTTCCACATCTCAGCTCAGATGGTCATACTGGTTGCAGCCACAGACATCTTAATTGAGATACACTGATCTTTTTGGTTGTAACAGAAGCCCTGATGCTAAAGCAATTTTAAATTGGTCAGGCTGCTGAAGTGTATAAAGCTAACTCAGTTATTAGGGAGATGAGTGTCTGCATTAACGAGAGGTATAAAAAGAAATGGTTATAAATGTGAAGGTGTCTGTGTGTGAGGTGTGGTTATTAAAATGGATAGTTCCCAAACCTGTGGTGGTTGCTTTAAATAAATAGCAGTAATTTCTATACTCCTTGCTGGCTCTTTGCTTTGGCTTTGGTAGGTAGCCCTGGTCTAGCCCTAGGTACCACTCCAGTATCTTACTGAGAAGAGAGGCAGCTGCTGGTCTGCTGCAAAATAGAAACGTCCCTCCTCAGAGCACACTGCTCCTTCCGAGTTACCCCTACCAGGCAGCCGTAGCTCCAAATGTCAGCCTGGAGTGAAGCAGTCTCACACAATGCAAAGCCTGCCACCCTTTACTGCAGAGGTGTAAACACCGAGACCTCCAACATAATTTTGGCAGATGTAAACATGAAATGTTAGCAACTAACATCCTGTCCCCTTTCTACCCCCCACCCCCCCCTCCCCCGTGCCTCCCTCCTCCCACATGCATTTTCCCCTCACTCCCATGTCCCAGCCGAGCTGGCAGCTGGCACTGAGAGGCTGTGAGCTCATGAGCTCACTCCCAGCCCAGCGTGCTG